GTTAGTGGGGCCAGTAGGGGGCGCTCACCCTGCAGTCTGTGTGGGTCCTAATGCCCCAGTATAGTGACGGGGACACTGTACTGTAAAAAGGTGCCGTCCTTCGGATGAGACGTAAAACTGAGGTCCTGACTGTGGTCATTAAAAATCCCAGGATATTTCTTAAAAAGAGTAGGGGTGTTACCAAGGCGTCCTGTCCAAATTTCCCATTAGCCCTTACCAATCATGGCCTCCTAATAATCCCTGTCTCTGAACTGGCTTCATCACTCTGCTCTCCTCCCCACTGAGAGCTGGTGTGTGGGGGGCAGACTGGTGCATCATCCAGGTGGGGGTACACACTGGTGGTGGTGGAGGGGATCCCCATGACCTGTAAAGTGCTTTGAGTGGAGTGTCCAGAAAAGTGCTCTATAAGTGTAAGCAATTATTATTATTATTAATTATATAATGGAAAAGAGAACCTTTTCTCTTGATGTACAGTCATATACAAGAACCCGTGGCCAGGCACATCACTTGGATTGAAGGCTGGTGAACAGGTGAAGAGAACAGAGTCCGTTCAGGCCTGGACAGAGTATAGAGATGGGGAGATTTGATCACGTGTTCAGGATCCCAAAAGGTACTGGAAGAGACAGCCCAGGGGACCAACACACTCATGCGGTGCTGGAGAGTGTATAGCATGAACTGGGGGGTGATGCTGTGATCAGAGGAGGAGTTCAGCGAGCTGCCAGCCAGTGGGGTCATGGGACTGTAGCTGCACTGCTCCAACATCTTCCTGTACGGTAGGTGTGTAGTAGCCTTAAAGGGGGGGATACCCCCCAAAATCTCACTTCCCATGCTGGACAAGAACTGTCCCGTTGCAGGAGAATCTGGTCATGGGTGGTTTGTTAATGGTGATGGGGAAAATCTGACGAAGACGATGTTGGCAACAGGTACATCTCAGCTGCCATTAATCATATGAATCATTATGGCTGGAAAACTGCGAGAATGCAATGTGTGGAGCAAATGGGCGATTCAGACGTTCAGGGTTCGAGCCTGGCCCCTGTGGGTTTGGTCAGTGTGCTCCAATTCCCTTCCACAGCATAGAGCCTTGCTGTCCAAACCCTACATTGCCCTGAGCATGTGTGTGGGGTGGAGGTGTGTGCATGGGGCCTGCGATGGACTGGTGTCCCATCCAGTATGTACAGTATCTCCAACTGGACTGGCGCCTGTGCCCAGCACAGCTCTCCGGGGATATAGGAGTCAGGATAGGGAGCGGACAGACGCTGCAGCTGGATGAAGGAGACGGGGCTGTCTTCAAGTGTGCCAGGGTGCTCTGGAGGTCTGCAGGGAACACAGACCATCCTCGTGCCTGATTCAGCTCTTGTGCAAACCCACTCCTTAATTAGATCATTCCGTTAAACGGCACTTAATCAGACATTTAAAGAGCAGGTTGTGCTTGATGATGATTCGAAAGGCCTGGTGTTTAAATACCAGATGTTTTTTGTTTTGTTTTTTAAACTGAATTCTTGTGCATCACTGGGCTCTTGTGGAAACCAACTGCTTGGATGAGATGATGGAAACCCAGACTACTGGAATCTCAGCTCGGTCAACAACAGGATGGGAGCAGGTGTGGCCGTCTCGCTCCGGGGGCCCCTGATGTCTGCACCCGAGAGGGACAGATCCTCCTGCTGTTATCAGGACTGGAATGTTCCTGTCTGGCCGCGCGGGCACCACCCCCGTTAGTGCCCCTGGTCACCTTGGCAGCACATCTGTGGGAATCCTCCCTCTGCCTATAATAACACGAGATAATGATATACAGTATCTTTCATTTCCCCCAAGGCCACAGACTGGCCTGCTTTTCCAGCCCCGTCTGCCGGAGCTGTGTGTGAGGGAGACGTGTATAAAGCCCCCGTCCTCTCTCCGTCTCTGCCAGAAGCCTGGTTTTACTCCCCAGGGTGAAGAGTGGACACTGCGGCCATGCTCGGTGGGATTCTGCTCGGCCTGTCGCTGCTGCTGCTGCCCCCCCGTGCTGAGGTCAGCGCCCCCGCCAGGTCAGCCCTGCCGGACCCCGACCGCCAGCCAGCGCGCCCGACGCCAGGTCTGTACGTGCCCCCTGCCCTGGGGTGGGCCCGCGGGTTCTGCAGTCTCTGTCTCCAAACCCGGGACCTGTGCTGGTTCAGGCCAGCTGCCCTCTCGGCTCATTTCTGGTTCAGTAACAAAAGCCCGATCACTCAGCAAGACCTAAACATCTGGCATTTAAAACCCACACCTTCCAAACCTGGTCCAGCAACAGCAGCTCTTTAAATGCTGCTTGATTAAGTGCTGTTTAACTGAATTGTCTCCAAGCTGGTTGCCACAAGAGTTGGACAGGAGAGGGCTAATACTTCTGGGAAAGGTGTGAAGACAGGGGCCAGTTGTGAGCCTGTGTGGTTATTTCTGGAATTTCTCGGGACTCATGAGTGCTGTTCTGCACCTGTAGCCTGAGATCCTCATCTCATTTAGTTGGTCTCCTTTTCTTGCGGCTGAAAGGTATCACTGTATTTATCGCTGAGGGTGTGTCTAGTTATTTTCCTCGTTGTTGCACACCTGTACAGAATGTCTGTGGTTCTTGCCAGGTTTGCAGAAAGCAGAGCTTCGACGCTTTGTTTTCGGACATGGCACACAATGATTGATTGATTGATTGATTGATTGATAAATGTATTGATTGATGTGCAGTGTGGAATGTCAGTAGCAGGGGATTATCCCCTGGAGAAAGAAGGATATCCACTTTTCCGACCATATTTGTATATTTTGACTGAATTAGCAAATTCCCTGTTGTTCAGATTTGATCGTTGGGTCTTTCTCAGGAAGCTGGATGTTGGGTGTAGAAATCTGACTCTGGCTTGAGGGAATTTTAAACAGACACCTGCTGCAGTACGTGACACCTCAGCAATAGTGAGGTGTCAACAGGACAAAAACCTAAAATGGGACAAATGTTGTGACACTATCTATTAAAAGGCCAACAGAGACTCTTCTTTCTTAGAAAACTCAGCTACTTTAAGGTGGATAAAACTATTCTTACACTCTTCTACAAATCATTCATTGAAAGTGTCTTAACATGCTGCTTCACTTGTTGGTTTGGCAACATGAGTACCAGTAATTGTAACAGGCTGGTACTGTACATCAGTGAATATAAGTGTCAAAATAATTGGGAATAATCAAATCAACTTTAGCATCCTTTACAGAGGGTGACTAAGAAAGCCAAAATCAGGGAGTGTGTCTCACCCCCTCCATTGCGGATTCACACTTCTCCCATCTGGGAGACGCCTCTGTGTCCCCAGGTGTAAAACCCACAGACTCAGGAAATCTTTCATCCCCACTGCAATCACACTCTTCAATGGTGCAGAGTCACTACCTTGTCTCTTGTTTCTTTTCTCCTGTAACACTACTGTATTCTCTTACCTTTTGAGGATGTGTATTGTCATGTGTGTTGTGTTTGACTGTGCCGTAAGACAAATTTTCCCCAGGGGACAATAAAGCTTGAATTGAATAGTTGGACGATGGGATAACATCATCAGGAATAGCCCCTGGACCGTAAGGGGAATGCAGACTCTTAAACTCCCATCTGTAGCAATAACATAGGCTGGACTCAGACTATAAAACCCTCAGTGACACCTGGTGTATGTCTCCTGCAGTGTTCTTTGGAAGTGGCTGTTTTTGTTACATGAAACAATGTAGACCAGCTGAGCCAGTCAACACACTGGGAGACAGGAGTCTCCAGGTTAAACCCTTCCAAACACAGGAGGGGGAACATGCAGACTCCACACAGACAGGGGCATGTTTGAGGGCAGCTCGTGGGCACAGTGGGTGGCGCTGTCACCTCAGTGGGTTCAGATTTGGGTCTGTCTGTGGGGAGTCTGAAAGTTCTTCCCCTAGGGCGTGTCGTTCTTCTCTGGATACCCCACTTTCCTCTCGGGTTAACAGGTATCTGCAAAGGACACTGCTGTAGGCAGGAGTCCTGTCCAGCCTTGTACTTTGTGTCGCCTGAGTAAGACTCACCAGGACCCTCTCCAGACAAAGGAGATGCTGAAAATTGAGGGATTCATCTTGTAATGAATAATATTTTCCACCAGCCCACATCTACGGTGATACCTTAAAAGTAGAATTCATGGGTTGGAAAAAAGCTGTATCATTTAAGAAAATTGCATGGGTTGTGTAAAGCAAGGAGAGAGAAAGCTGTGTTAATTGTGTTAAAAGTCCAGCATTTTCTACTTGTGATCTGCAGGAGGCAGCAGGGCTGTGAGAGAGGAGGCAGTGACAACCACAGATCGGGAGTCAGAGGTGGGGGACCCTCTCTCTGTCCTGCCCGTAGAGGCCACAGAGGCCCCCTCTGTGCCGGGCCTGGGGCGCTGTCCTGGCACAGCGGGGTGCAGGGAGCCCTTCCTCAGCGCGGTTCGCCAGATCTGGGGCGAAGGAGGTCGAGCCGAAGAGGAGAGGGTCTCCGCGCAGTTCGGGATCTGCCCACCGGGGGGCGCCACCTCCGGTGGCCTGCTGAAAGCAGTATCTGCGCTGGCTGCCCTCCCAGCCCCCCGAGGGAGAGACGCAGACGGGCTGCCAGCTCTGTCCCCCACGAAAGGTGATGTAAAGCCCACTCTTCGGTCACGATCAACCCCACCTGTCGCTGCCTTGCCGTTAGCTCATTTGCCACTAAAATAGAGCAGTAGACACACAGGATTTCAGATCATTAGGGAGCAGGGTTTTTGCAGATACGCAGGAGATCGTGCAATTTATTCATCACAGGAGCCATCAGAGCTGATGCAGCCTCCATGTCTTCAAGCTGCGGACCAGTCTTAACTGGGCTGATGGCTGCTGATGTGCTGTTTGTCAGCACTGCCTGTTCTCCTGGCCCGCAGCATCGGGCACAAGTGTCTGAGAGACCCTGCTGGGAGGTGAACCAGCCCAGATGAGGGCAGCTTGGAGGCGTTGTGCTGTTTCTGCCCTCACTGCAGGAGTCTCTGGCTCTGTTCCTGCAGGGCCTGCTGGTTTCTGTGCCAACTGCACTCTCAGTTACCCAGCCTGATTCTAGCCTGATTTACAGCTGACTGGGCCTTTAATGCAGCGGTTTTCCTGTGTTCTCAACTCTTAAAGACGTTGAGAAAAATCCTGTGTCTAATTTGAATAAATAATGAGGTTCATTGGCAGGTTGACTTCGCAGGTTGGTACAAAAACCTGGAGACAGCAGGCCCTCCGGGATCTGGGCTGGAGACCGCTGGGCTTCAGGCTCTCTGGCCAAGGGCCAGTCTGCTAGGGCAGGTCATTAGACTTGATTAGCCGTGTGTCCGAGCCCCACTTGAAGTGGCGTGCTTAAAGACACCCTGTCCCTGCCGCGGTTCGTGTCTGACTGTGCGCTGTTCTCGCCTCTCAGCGCGCTGGGAGGAGCTGGAGGAGAGGGGCAGGGGCAGACTCACCCTGCACTTCACACTGCCGCCCCCACAGCGCCCTCTGCTGCCCCAGACCATGCCCCTGCTGCTCTTCTCCCCCCGGGGCCCCCCTGTGAGCGAGGGGGAGGCGCTGCGGGTCTCTTTCACAGCGCACACCCTCCATCCGCACACGCAGGTGAGACTCCAATATAATATGTAATATAATAATATATACTGGAGGATGTACTAATTAGGTCGCTGGAATTTCCTGCCCAGACTCTGTGATGTTTGGGGCGGGCGGTTTTTCACTTTCTTGCCGCTCCTCCAATCGCATCTCTTTGCAGACTGTGTGCGTTTCCGTGGACACACAATTCGTCGCTCTGATTGGAGGGCAGGCAGCAGGCCACGCCCACGGGCACCTGGTGTTCCAGGTCACCATAGAGACGCACCGTGCAGGTGATGGCAAAGGTACTTCTTTATGAGACGGCTTCTGCTTTGTCACCTTTTAGCATTTTTTGAAAACATTTTAAATTACCCTCCCGTAGTTCGTTATTATACACTAACCCATTCTGGAATCACCGTATGTCTTCATGTCCTGGAGAACGGAGAGATAGATATTCCTTGCTGCAGTCAGCTGGTGACACATCAGAGATACAGAGAATGTCTGAACTGACAGAGCCTTTTGGGGAACCCCTTTTTCTGTCTTTATCCCTCCCCTCCCCCCAACACAGCTTCAGAAAACAGCGTCTTTTAAACTTTGTACAATAGTTGTGTTACTTTGAATTCCTTCCCCTTCCCAGGCCCAGCTCTTTCTCTGTCAGAACTGCAGGGGTTCCTCTTAGGGGAAGATAAAGAACGCAACACCACCCAGAACCCTGTGCTTCTGCTGCTGCCTCCAGTGGGACAGGGGGAAACTGTTGCAGAGAGCCCCGAATCTCTCACTGGGAACAACAGGTGTGTCCTCCTGTCTGCCACGCTGTGACAGGTGCTTTTCTGAGCCACACGCCACACCTGTATGCCATGGTGTGAGAGACGTTTCTCACAGAGCGCAGGAATTCAGCCAAAGTGTTCAAGGAGTTGGGCTTTAAATTGCACAGCCACTGTGAGATATTGCCTGATGAAGCATATTACTAATGTTAATAGTTCCTGTATATCCATTTTCTCATCACTTTCCCGGTTCAGGGACACGGGGGAGCTGGACCCTCTCCCTACAAGCAACAAGGCACAAGGTGGGGTACACCCTGGACAGGACGCCAGTCCATCACAGACAGACACACTCACACCAGGGCCAGTTAACCCACCAGCATGTCTGTGGACTGTGGGAGGAAACCAGAGCACGCAGAGGAAGCCCACACAAACTCAGGGAGAACATGCAAACTCCACCCCACATCCAGAATTGAACCCAGGGCCCCAGCACTGCAAGGCAGCAACGCTAACCCCTGCTCCCCTGTGCTGCCCTGTTAGCGGTTCAATTAGCTAATAATAATGTTACAGACTTTGCGTAGAGGCAGGCGTGACAGACGGCGGGCGGTCTCATTCATGATTCTGCTGCCCTGTGCTGTTGTTGAGTCGTCCTGTCCTTCCAGAGTGCGGCCTGAGCCGAGCCCCGCCCCAGGGCCAGCCGGGGACTCGGACACGTTCCTCTTCCTGAACCAGCTGCAGGACTTCCTGAGGGAGGCCCTGCCCTCAAGCCGCGTGTCCGCGCCCGAGCCCAGCCCCGGGGGGCCCCCGGGGACCCGCTCCTCCGCGCTGGACGGCCTGCGGTCTCCGCCCCGCGCCCCCCTGGGCA